ATTATCTTTTTTTAAAGTACTTATCTTTAAAACAGTTGTTGGTATGCTACTAACTTCATGTCTAGACTATAATAAACCCATTTAAAATTGATATCCACATGCTAAGCAATATTTTGGCTGGTGTTTTTTTTTCCATTATACTCTAGTTTTAAATGTAAATTATTTACTGCAAATTTTCTGGGACTAGAATTAAACCCTCAGTGAGGGTTTATTTTTTCCACAAAAATATTCAACACCTGCCTGATCATTCATTCAATTTATCAGGTATTTACTGAGCACTGGTGTCAGCCAGGGGTTATTCTAGGTGCTGGGGACACAGGCAGTAATGGACTCATATAGCTAAGTTATTTGTCTTTTGTAAATCTCCAGTTGAAATTTGACCCAGATGTTAAAGGTAGGGCCTAAACAGAGGTGTTTGGGTCACGGGAGTAGATTCCTCACAAATAGCATGTTGACATTCTTGCTCTGTGAGACCTGATCATTATCATTTTTTACTTTGGATTAAAACATACGATTAAATTGTACTGCTTGTGTTTGTAAGGTAAGTTCCAAGTCATTGCTGTGTCCTTCACCCAGTAAGTGTCCACATATCTGTACATCATGCCCATTTGGTGGGAACTTAACTGAGCCCCCTCCCGCTCCTCTCTTCTTGAATTTGAGTTTTTCTGCTCACGTGGGCCTGCCAAGTGCCCATCAACCTATGAATGGATTAAAAACTGTGGTGTATATACACCATGCAATACTATTCAGCCATAAAAAAGATGGAGACTTTGTATCTGTTGTAATAACCTGGAAGGATTTGGAGAACATTCTCCTAAGTAAAATATCACAAGAATGGAAAAGCAAGTATCCCGTGTAGTTAATACTAAGTTGGAACTAGCAGATCAACACCTCTAGGCCACATGAGGAAGCAGGTTACTGAGAAGAGCCTAGCACCTCCCTCTGATCGCTGCTGCTCCTCTGCCCGTGGGACACACGGGCTTCCTTTCTCCTCCCACCTTCAATGGAAGCTTCCTGCAGCCCTCACCAAAAGCTGATGCTGGCACACCTCTCCTTGGACAGCCCTCTTTTCTTCGTAAATTATGCAACCTCAGGTATTCTTTATAGTAACAGAAACAAACATACCAAGAGAGTCACCAGTCCTATTATTATGACAACTGTACCCTTTAGTAGCATCCTTAGTGCACAAATTTTATGTGTAAGTGTAACCAAGTGGGTTAATAACAATAGCTAACACTTACCGGAGGCATATTGTATGCCAGGCAATACTCTGAGCACTTTACAGATGTCATTTCAGCTGACACTTGCAACAAGGTGATGAAGTCGGTGATGTCATTTTCTCCATCCTACAATTAAGGAAAAGGAGACTCCATCTGAGAGTCAAGGAGAGGTCAAGGGCTCCATCTGCACTCACGCGGTTACTGGGTGGCAGAGCTCGGGGAGCCGACCGTAGAACCCATCCTTCCAGACACTGCTATTCTGCCTCTCAAAGTGCTTTTAATTTGCACTTAAATATTTGACCTACTTTGGTCCTATTAAGTTTGTAGAAGAGCTCTGCGCTCTGACATTCAGTGCCTCTGGTAGTGTGTCAGCAGAAATGCTTCTTATTCATTATCACTCTGCCCCTGAGAAGTGGGAACTTGGTGACTTTTGCAATTGTAGAAACTGAGATTTCTCTCAGTCAGTTCAGCTCTGCTGCAGGCTCTGTGCTGGGGAGAAGGAGAAAGCAGCCTACGTGGTGGTCATGTGGCTGTATCAGAGACTCAGGAATGTGGCCCCTGGATAAGTGCATGACCAATGAGTATTAGGGAAGTAGCCTCACGGGTACCATGGAAACTCATTGTAAAGGGCCCTACCACAGTCTCTGGGTAGGGACGGCCTCTCCCCAAAAATAAGACTTGAAATCTAGATAGGAGTCAGCCAAGCAAAAAGGGCAGGAAACAGTGCTCTGGGCACCTATCTGTAGCCTCCCCTTTCAGCTCGGGACCATTAAAGCTGCCATTGGAAAGTGGAACAAGCAGAGTCAGAGACCCGTGGATTAAACGGGGTGTGTGTGTGGGGGGGGGAGTCTGTAAGTGGCAGACTTTAAAGACAGAAAATAGACACCAAAGAAGTTCACAGCAGATCATCTCAGTTTCTCTCTGAAATTTGAAGCTAAAATTACTTAGAAAGGTAGAAAGAATTTCAAAGCTTTCTTCAAAAGAATGAAGACCAAGGAGACTTTTTCAGGGG